GGGGGGAACACCTGAGGTTTGAGTCATTAAAGACATGTAGGTACTATACCCAATAAAGAACAGGTGTTCTACAGGGCCAGAATATGCTGAGGAGGCTATTAAATCCTTCAGTACTTTTTAAAAACAGTCTTATCCTTGTTAAGAATTACCACTGAACAGTCTTTTCTGTCCTAAAATGCACAGTGAAAATCTGCTATGCCCAGGGGACAAACAAGCATTGTATAGGACACCTAGCTACATGACAGCATGATACCCACAAAGCTTGCATGAAAGTAATCATATGAGAAGATGAGCACTGTCTGGCCTAACACAGATCACATTTTTTTCAGCCTTGTTTAGGCTTTTATCAAGAGATGGTAACAGATCTCTCATTTGAATCTTTGCATCTCCTTTTTCAAGTATCACTGAATGTTTCTGAACCTGGAATGACATCACAAATAACCCTTTATTATATTGGCAACCCTTAAAAGCAAAAAGCAAAGAAAGGGAAGGATGAATATCTGAAGCAAAGCATTTGAAAAATAAATGCAAGATGTTCAAGCAGCATTTATTACACAGGGAGCATAAAGTATATTTTGAATTTGCTGCAATAGAACCAGTTTTAACAAATTGCCTGCAGTTTTAGAATATGTACTAACACCCCATAATCAGTGGCCTTAACAACAGCACTCATCTGCCACCCAGTGTCCATTTGCCTTTTTTCCCCATCTTATGAAAACACACAATATGAAGTCTGTAGAAGACCAACAGTACTATCTGCCAGGCTGAACTTCACATTATTATTACTGCTCTATTTGAATATTACTAGCAAACTAGACTACTATTAGAAATAAGAAAATCAGGGTAAAGAAACTAAAGCAACATGAGTGATCCTAACAAATTAATTATTCAACGAGTCTAGTCAGAAGAGGGATTTTATTCTCCTCGAGCGTGTACCCAAGAATATATGGCAAGTGATGGAGTAGAAGGAAATAGCATTGAAGGAAGTCCTGAAATTTATGAGTGAGAGAAAGCTGGGGGGCATGGCATAAAACTAACCCCTACTAATATCCTTTCCAGTCTCAAATTAACTAGCATGTGGAAAAACATTTAGTTGCCTATTACCTGAAGACACAAGCTGAGTTAATTCAAACTTCATTACATTACCTTGGAGATGAAACATAAGTTACAGCAGTGTGGCTGAATTATTAGAATAGATTTACTTTTTACTCCTGGGTCACTAATCAAAAACTAACCTTAGAGGAAGGGATGAAGGAAGGACGGCAAAGGAAACAGAAGAGCGAACAAAAGATACATGAGGAAGAAGATAGATGTAGAACTAGTCCATTGTAATTGACAATATTGTACTTTGATTCCTGGAATATTTATTCTAGTATTATTAATATTAGAATAGGAACACACAGGAAAGAAATAGCATCAGAAGTAGTTGACACATGATGGATTAATAGGACAGCGGGACAGTCAGTGGCTTCTGGGTTGACCTTCTGTTGACTTTACAGGAGTGGTTTGCTCCAGAAGAACAAAAACCTGAGATATAGCAAGGATGCTAACTGAACTAAAGCTAAGGGATGAAAACTTTTAAAATTAATACAACACCTGCTCCTGTAGGTATGACTGAAAAAGTCTGGCCAAAGGTTACTTGCAAGGGTGAAACAGACTGTAGATGGACCATTGTTATAAATAATTTTTTTTGCCTCCTTCCCCCCTCCCCACCCCTCTACAAACAGTAAATAGGATTTTGGCTTTTAAAAGACTGTCTAGTCATTAAATTCATGACTTGTCACAGACTTCAAAATAAAGAATTGCTGATGGAAAAAATAAAAACCAGACCTGTCAGGTTAGCACAGTGTTAGATTAGGTGTTGGAACACAGCCTGGCCTAAGAACAGAAAAATCATGTAATCGACTCAAGGGGAGGTAGTAGAGGCTGATACTCAAATGGCTCAATTCAGAGCAACGTATAAGGGGAACAATGTGTACCAGATAACAAACTTTAGAGAGACAGTCAGACAAGCAGACAGACAGACAATGTGAATACGTGGACCTACTTCATCATTTTTAGTTATTCAACTATTCAAGCATTTTAAAAATCATACTTACTTTTGAGCATTTCAGTTACTGCAGCAGGATCCACGGCACTTTCAAACACCTTCAGGAAAACAGTAAGAAGTAAACAAAATCATTATAACACCAATTTAACAATCTAGCATTCATAGGAACAATTTAATACCTATTCAAAATAATTCCCCTATTTTTTGTCAAGCTGCCTTTAAGGAAAATCAAACTTAACTAATATTATATATCTATGTTTGTGTATTTTAAGATGCCATTTACATTTTTAAAGTTACACGATATTTTGGAAAAAATGCTTTAAAGCTGAAATTGCATATTCATTTGTAGGAAACATTATCATGCTTACTGTGCAATTCTATGAACTGTAAAACAGCAGAACCACAATTACAATTAGGAAATTTATGTTTGGGAAATGCTTGAATTCCTGGCCAATCCTATAGGACACATACCAAAAGAAAAAATTAAAAGCCCTAATTTGAAGCACCTTAAAGCATAGGTAAATTTCCACAGGGATTATAGACAAATGAGAAGGTGTGAGGAAGTTTTCCTGTTTCTATGTATTATGTAAAGATTGTCCGAATATCTTACAAAAATAAAATTAAGATACCATCTATGAAACGTCTTTCAAGAAACAAATCCAAATGCATTTGTCTGTATTTAGCTCTGCTCTATTTTACTACAATGAATTATGTCTTATTCAAAGATACTCTTCTTACGCTTTGGCATGAAATTCTGTCCCCTTTGAAGTAAATGGAAACTTTACCACTGATTTTATCTGGGCATCCACGCTGGACATCCCACCTATGTAACAAAGCTGCCCTCAGCTGCATCCCACTTATTTTAACAGTATTTGCTGGTTTTTTTTGTTTCTTTCGAATGTGCCAACATCCTCCTTCTTACTATGTCAGTGTTTTCAGACAATATTCTAAGCAATATTTTTTTGAAAGGGCTGTGTAAAGTCATTTTTTCCCTAAGAAAATGTATTGCTTCATGCTAGTTAACACCTACTAACGAGGGTCACAGGCACAAAATCACAGTACTGTGAGGTAGGATAAAAGATGAACCTATCTAACAACATCTGCTTCATGATAATTACTTTAATGTTCCTCCTGTGACTAGGTAAATGTACAGAAAACTACTCTTCTATAGAAGTCTGTTATATTACCCACTTCTGGTCAGAATGTGGCTACGGGCTTTTATTGCAGGAGACTGAAGACTAGTTCAGAGTTGCGTCCCCCTTGAGACAGGGTGAAGACCCTAATGGAAATTTTACTTTGTAGCTTTCAGATGTATTAACTGTGTAGCTTTTCACTTGTGTCAATAATAACCACAAGGGAAAAGTGAAATTAATCATGTGGCTCAAGGAAAGGCCTCTTGTGGGTCAGATGCAAAGAATTTTAGAGAAACAGACAGCTGGAGTGGTTTGAAAAAGAATGAAGAAGAGTCTGAAATAAATAGGTGAGAAAGATAATGTTCCTCTAACTTCGTCTAGTCCTCTTTTGCAATGGCTTCAGCATGGGTTTGCTTGTCAATGGACATAGCCATTCTGTCTCACACCATTTTTTAAAAGCAATTTGCAAACACAAAATACCCTTCACCAGAACCATAACCAATGAGCATAGAGTACAGGAAAAACACACCGAAGACTCCTGTTCTCACTCGTTCCGGATGTTAGTATGGCATGTAAAATGGCAGCAAAACCATTTGTCTATCATTTATTTGGATCTTCATTTACGTCACATGTCTGTTGTAACGACAAAAATCTTGAATAGATGACAGACACAGAAGAATTGGGGTATCGTATTGCTTCCAGAACAATCGTATCTGAAACAGAATAAATTCAGCTGCCCTCATATGCACTGTTGCCATTACTGAGATTAGCTAAAAACCGTCCATGTGAGAGACGACCTCTCCAAACCACCGCTGTCAAAGCTCCAGACCATAAAATCTTAAAGAAATGTTAAAATCTATTCCATTCGAGGAATGGGCCTAATACTTCATCTTGTTATGTTGAAATACATGTGAAACAAGAATAACCTTTCAGTTGTAAAGAAAAATAAGATTATGAGTGAATTACAGCTTGTACAAGGCTCGAGACATTAGACTTGCCAGCCCACGGCATCTAAGTGAAAGTCACCTTTTCAAAGCATGTCCTTCTCATGAAACGAGAGGGAAAACAGGAGGAAGGCATTCTGTCTCTTTGCGTTGACTCAAGAGGCACACACTGAGAAAAATGTCACATTCCTCAAGCAGAAACACACCAGGACATGTAGCCTTAGGAAAGAAAAAAATATGCTCACGAGACTCCTTAGTCCAGTCTCACACATACGCATCCATCCATGTCTGCAGAGCTCTATCTCAGAAGGGACTCAGTAGGCCCTTGGCTTTACTACTGATAATCTCGAAAGGGTGCCGGATTACGATCTACCCTTGGGACCTCTCTCATTATGTATATTGGATTTATTTTATCAGATCATGTAACAGGGACTGATTTCACAGACCTTGGTGTTACACAGAGCAGAAACATTTGATATGTAAAAGGAAACAAACAAGTGAAAACTACCCCCTTTTTTTTTTTCTAACATCTGATGAGAAGACCCGTTATGAGCAACGTATTAGAACTACCCATTTGCCCAGCAGCAGTAATCCCCTTCATTGAATAAACACCGCACAGCAAGGAAAAAGCCGCATTTAGTCTAACCTTTTCCTCGCACA